ACAAGGAACTGTCACAAACCGTGCGCTTCACGCGGCAGCGAAGCTGTTCCGTACCCACGTGGCTCTGTTAACCAAGCGTGAATGGGAGTGATTCCGGTTGGGGAGGGGGGGGGATACTTCTTTTTCTAGCGTCTTACAAATACAAGCTGAAACCATACGGTCGAGTTGAGTTTGTGTTAACGAAAGTGCTGTCCGCTTGAGGGCGCATTAATACAACCATACCCTGACATTCAATTGCAGCCCGAATTTTGATACAAGGAAGATTAGTTGGCAGTCTGTTATAAGTGATTGTATGATTTTAATAAAACTTGTTACGGTGAAGAAATATGTGATACAGTTGGAAAGGCCTCTGGTAGTAAATTCATATAAATAAACAATTATTTTACAGTCAACCACTAATAGTGGTTTAAAAGCTCACCCCATATGTAACATATCAGCCATTTAAAATACGGAAGAAGCCTAGAATACCAAACAAATTTCAACCCACACCTGCAAGTGTTATGTACCAACCAATATAAACTCAATCAACACCTCAGTACGTAACCTATCGACCAAATGAATCAAAATCTTGAGTACACGTTATATCCACAAGCGAAATGGTTTTTAGACGCATCATCCAATACCCGTTTTTTATACCCATCGACCATAAATTTGTGAAGATGATAGGAAGCAAAATCTTATAAAACTCCGTAAAACAAACACAACGATGTTTTTAAAGTGACCCTTTCCTCACATAGCGGTTGATGTTGCGTTATTTATAGTAATTCATTGCAATGAAACAAACATATTTTTTCACAGTTTTTATGTTACTTTCTAGCATAGCTGTGCGCATTACCTTTTCAATGAAGTGCCGCTATCGCTACATTTATAATAATAAAAGGGCGTGTGTGACCGTCATAGCTAAAAGAGGAAAGATTCTAGGAACCTGAATTTTTGAACCCATACTAAGTGAACCCTGGGGGTGTGCACCTGGCTATTATTACTTATCTTATCCGCGCGCATGGAAAATAATTGGTTCCTTATATAACAGCTTCTAATAAATAGAAAAGCCAGTATGTTTTGCTAACAATGTGTTCCAACAACGGCTTTTATGTCATGTTGCTTAGCAACTACAGTATAACTTAATATTGTTGATTAAAGAGGTTTGTTTTTTATTGTTTAAGTTTAAAATTGGATCGATATTTTTACTTGCATGATAAATTTTATGCACTTGGCTCTAGGCTAGGTTATCTCACACTGTCTTTATTTTAGGCTTGTTTATTAATTTCTTTCAACCATACCAACATTCACTACATTTACATGGTTTCACTTCCCCCTTTCACCCCAGTCACTAAAATCGTAATGGGCAGACATTAACCGAACCATTCTAACTGGATAAATGCATTTTGGCTTTTATGACTCTTCTTATTTCGAGAAATCAAGAGCGACATACATTGGCTTTTATACAGGTTAGATAACGTGACATATAGTGGCAGCTATAATTATTTTATTATTTTCGTACCTTTATGACTTTTTTATATTTCTGGGAAATAAATATATGTTTAAAATATTTTTTTGACTGTTATTCTATGGTAAAATAGATTCAGAATACACAAACTGACATAGTCACCTAGAACATATCATCAACCTAATAACCCGAGCGAAGCTGGTTACCTTCGCTAGTATCTATAATAATAATAGGGCATGTCTGTGTGACCGCTATAGCTCCATGAGGATAGAACCTAGAACTTGAAATTTTGCACCCACAGTAAATGGACCCTGAGGGTGTGCATCTGGGTATTACTTATCTTATCCACGTGCGTGCGCTCATGCGCATCTTTTTAATGAGGCAAGCTAGCGAAAAACCACCTAGAAAAAGAAGTGGTTCCTTATATTACAAAATAATAAGTGGACTCTGAGATTGTGCACTTTGGTATTATTACTTGTGCGCATCTTTTTAATGAGGCAAGCTGGCGAAAAACCACATAGAAAAGAAGTATTTTTATGTTTGTGTGAAATAAAAATGTTTAAAATATTTTTGACTGTTCTTCTATGCTAAAATAGGTTCACAATACACACATTGACATGGTTCATCATTCACTAATATAGATTGTCTGTATTATATTATTGTAGTAATAAAATACTACCGTTTACCAATTAATTTGCGTTTTTCATCTATACGTTATCTATTGAGAAACAATAATGAAAAGTGTTAGTTTTAAAGTAGCGGAGGAAAGCAGCTAAGAACCATACAGCCTTCTATACATTTAATGATAGTACTTAAAGAACACAACGTCAAACACAAATGAATATAATGACAATAATAATATTAACAGAGCTAATAAGATCACGACAACAACTGCGTCACGTAACACGTTTGATTGTTTTTCATAAGCAAAATGCATTGTAAATATAATTATATATAATATCTTATACAAAATACAAACTTATATAATACTATTATATATCATAATGAATATATAATAATGCAAAACTATATAATTATACAATCGTACAAAATATAATTTATATTTTCTATTACAAGTAAAGCCAGTACTAAAATCCGAGGATTCTTGGTTCGAGACCCGTTACTACAACAACACACTCCACACGTTAGGTTCGTGTGCGATATTGAGGTACAAACAAACCAAAAAGTCAGATGAACACATATGATCAGTTGTGTAAGTCCTACATATGCCTTCTGGATTGTATATGTTTTTTTACTTCCGTACGTATTTAACCTCATTATTTTGATGAAAATTACATTATTTACCTTATGGTAACGTAATTTGGAGTAATGTTACTTTATTCAGTATACTGAATAGTTTAAACAAGTCTTTACACCTTACCTTTGGGGTAAATAACAGCGATATTTGACATGATGGTATATTCCACGAAATGCACTTAATATACTTATTTTTCTATTATTAAATGTTAAATGAAACGATTGTGTTTAAATTAGTTTTGTTGCCACTTCAGTAAAGTTACAAATCCCATACGTTTGTGTATTGGGGTGGCTACTACAATTTTAAGTTTTTCTGTGGTATACGAACTGGTATTTTGATTGCATATATGGAAATGTTAAACGTTTGTAAGAAAACTACCATAGTGATTGTAAACATTAACGTGTCACAAG